CACCGACATGTACCTTTTTGCGCAAATGGTCAAAATCAAGGTTTGGTAACGCGAGCTGTGCCACAGTGAAGTGGAACTAGCCATTTCACACCGCATTTCCGTGGGTCACGCAAGTATACACAACGTTCCCACTACGACTAGTACAGCTTTACGACCATACGCTAGGAACCTCGAGAACATCTACGCATGGTTGCGGGCGTCATCGACAACGTCTTCACTTATCGTGGACGTCGATGTCGTCGTCATCGTTGCTGACGACCCGCGCAGGTAGCCAAGCACCTTGCTCCACCCCAAACTAGAGCCCGAAAGGCCAGAGCCGTTCGCCTCCGCCAGCCGGCTCGCCTCCGCTAGTGCGCCCCGCGCAGCGGGCGGTAGAGTTGCCCCACTCCTCGCGTGACATTCAAGAGCCTGCTGAAATGTGCTGCGCACGACCCACTCAAACTCAGCCAGCATCTGAAGCACCTTCGCGGCGTCGCCCTTGCCGGTGAAACGAGATGAGCCGATTGCGGCGAAAGCCTCCTCGAGCACCGTCAGCGGCGGACTCGCGCATGACCTCGCCACGGGCTCCGGCCCTCCGATGTCGTACACCTTGGCGCGGAGCTCCTGAGCGCGCCGGAAGCGGAGTGGCAGCTCCTTGCCAGCCCGCGCCGCCTGTGCCTCGGCCGCGGCGAGATGTGCCGCGACGGTCATCGCGACGCCCTGCTCGAAGAGACACCAGCCGCGGTTCTCGTACGGCCTCTCGTTGTAGTCCATCTGCCGCTGTAGCCACTGCCGCTGGATGTCCTCTGGGCGGTTCGACTGGACAGCCGGGACGACCACCTCGCGCTGCTGCAGCACCGCCGTCCCGGTGATGCTGGCGTATAGGGAGCCCATCACCTCGAGGCCGCGGGAAAATGTGGTGACGTCCGCGAGGCTGCGGTGGCCTGCCTCGTCCTTCTGAGGGAGTGCTGCGAAGTCCCAAAATATGCCGACCCCTCCCGCGCCGGAGGCGAGGTAGCGGCGCACGGCGGCGAGAGTAGTGCCGTGAGGGTCCGGGTGGAGCGGCGTCAGCCAGCCGTACGAGAGCGCGAGGACGGAACGGTCGCCGGCCTCGAGGAGCGCCGCCGCCTCCTCGCGCGGCACAAATGCCTCGGCGGGCAGGTCCTGGCGCCGCTTCATGATGACTGTCCCATCTCCATCCCGCCCAAGGCTCGCATCGGCGGACTCCGAAGCGAGCCAAGCGCAGCGGAGGAGACGAACGGAGCCGTCGCGCAGCCTCGCAACGAGCTTGCCGTCGATCTGTGAGTCGGCGGCCACGAGGACTGCGGTGAGGTCAACATCGGCGAGGATGCGCCGGCTGCGCCGCAGGTGGTGGACGGAATAGATTGCGCCAGCCGTGATGCTGCCGAGAAGGATCACGCACATCAGAATCTCGACCGCGAGGGAAACGGCGCCACTAGCACCTCGTGAGGCGTTGTACACGCCGGACAGGACCAGGAGAAGCACGGTGGCGCCGAGCAGCAGCGACTCCATTGCATTCTGGAAGTCGTAAGCGTAAGGGAGCACTTGACGGTGAGCAAGCCAGAAGCCCGTGACGATGACGATGGCGCTGCAAGCGACGGCATACCTCATTGGGTCGAGACCGCGCACGACATAGACGCGCGTAAGGTCGCAAGCGAAGACGAGGAGCATCAGCGAGAACTGGCGCAGCCAGATGACGAGTTGCCACCGCGGCGCGTGCGGCGCGAAGCGGCCCGTCAGGTAGGCGACCTGCCGCTCGAGGTGGCGAGGGAAGATGGCGGAGGGCTCGGAGGTGACACCGAGGCGCCGGAGGCATCGCAATGGCAACAAGCATGGCCTCAAGCTTGGGGCACGCCAGAGGCCGTCCTCGCGGCCCCGCGTGAAGGCGCCGATCTGACGCGCGAAGTGAAGCGGGAGGAAGAGCAGGAGCAGGAGGAGCAGCGACAGCAGCGACAGTAATACGACGGCGACGGGGCTGCTCCAGTTTAAGGGAGCGTAGCGTACGCCTGGAGGGGTCCCTTCTGGCGGCAGCTCTATCGGCAGTTTCGCTGAAGGTTGGCTCGGCGGCGGCGAGAGCGGCGGTGGCGGTGGCGGCGGCGGCGGTGATGTCGGCGACGGCGGTGGAGGGCTCGGTGGAAATAGCGGTGGTGGGGGAGGGGAAGGTGACGGCGGCGATGGTGAGGGCGGCGAGGGCGGTGGTGGCTGGCTGGGTGGTGGACTCGAGGGCAGCGGCGACGAGGGCGGTGGCGGGCTTGACGGCGAGGATGGAGTGGGTTGGAGTGAGGGTAGCCCTGGCGGTGAGGCTGGTGGTTCAGGCGACGGGGGCGACGGCGGAGGCGGACTCGGGGGCGGACTCGGAGGCGGCAGCGGGGACGGCGGCGGTGGTGGCGGCGGCGGGGAGGGCGGCGGCGACGGTGGCGATGGGGGGGAGGGCGGCGACGGCGGCAGGGGTGACGGCGATGGCGGCTGTGGCGTCGTCGGTGGTGATGATGGCGGCGACGGCGGCGACGGCGGTGCAGGTGGCCACGCCGGCGGCGACGGCGGCGGGGCTGGCGGAAAGAGGTAGGTGGTGACGTTGGTGATGAAGCTGAATGGATCGGTGGTGCTGGTCAAGTCGCTGAGGTCTAGCAGAGCCGCCAGTACGCCCGGCACCACCTCTGCGCTGATCCTGCCGCTATCTCTCGCGTCGTCGACAAGGCTGTCCGGCGACGAAGGCAGGACGAACGTCTCGATCTCGATGATCACCGCGTCCAGCGTCACCGCCTCGGCCAACTCGCCAAGGTCAGGAGGCTGGGAGATCCTGTGCGACATGTTCACCAGCCTCGCCCGCATGTCCAACTGAGCGCCGCCAGCGACGCTGAGTGCGCGCCGCCGGGAGAGGGAGAGCAAGCGCCGGCTGTCTTGTGGCGTCGCTGGCGGCGGGGATGGCGGCGCCGCCGCGATCTGTGTCGCGCTGCATCCGTCCGGGTCGTAGTCGTTGTCTGCGCGGCACAGGGCCTCCTCGAAATCATCATCAGTCCGGTCATTCTGCCGGGCGACCACGACGAATTGCTGGAGCACGTCGATGGACAGCTGCGCTGGCTCGCTCTGGCTGATGATGCGTGCGGTGATCGCCTTCATGATGGCGTCGACCGTCACTGGCTCCTTGCTGAAGGGGACCGTGCTCACGTCGAGCGTAGCCAAGTATTTTGAGACGGCCTTCCTTGGCGGCGATGGGGGCGGCGGTGACGGCGGTGCAGACGGCGGCGGCTTCGGTGCTTCCCCGGGTGCAAAGGGCGGGAGGGGCGGCGATGACGGCGGTGGTGGCGACACCGGCGGCGGCGTCGGCACTTTCCCGGGTGCAAAGAGCGGCAGGGGCGACGGAGGGGGGAACTGCACAAGCCCCCCTGCAGTTGGAGGTGGCGGAGGGGCAGACGCCTGGGAGAGCTTGACCGTCCTGCCTTCTATCACAAAGTGCACAGTAGTCGTGAAGATTGTGCTCCAGCATGTCGTGAAGAGGAGCGCGAAGATGATGCTCAGCACGAGCTCGGCGGAGTCTCTTGCAGCCCGCATTCGAAGCCGGTGGCTGATGGCGGGAGCCAGCATGGTCGTCAGCAGCACGGTGATCGATCCGCCGCAGACAGCGATTGCGTACAGCCAAAACGGAGACGCGGGGAGGTCGCCCTCCTCGTGTGCGTCGACGGGGGACAGGAAGCAGCTCGCAGCGGGGATCGAGATAAAGTCGAGACGAAAGGCAGCCGCAATCGCTACAACCGAGTCCGGCCAGTCGAGGTGGAGGCTACCAATGACTGCGAACGTCTGTGCGTGGCTGATGAGGATGACTGCGGTTGACACCCATCGCTTGAGCGACGCTGGATGGCGCACGACGAGACGGATGAAGGCGACAAGCGCCAGGATGCCCAAGGCCGCGACAGACGCTACGAGGACGGCCCCGGTAACAATGTTGCCGCAGTGCTCGCACTGCGTCGGATCCGTGATTGACAGCCGAGCGTCTCCAAAGGCGGCGCAGCTACCTGGCGGCACACCGAGGCAAGCGGCGGCGTCGGGCCGGCAGACTCGGGTGGCACTCTCGTACTCAGCCCGCTCCGCCCGCGAGGAGGGGAAGATGAAGCCATTGCTGCGGAAGTGGGCGCTTGTGAGGTCCGCCAAGTCGCCGAGCTCCGACGGCAGGGCGCCGCTGAGCGAGTTTCTGCTGACGTCGAGCGTCACAAGGCCGGCGAGCGATCCGATCGAGGGCGGGAGGCTTCCACTGAGCGAGTTGGCTCCGAAGGAGAGGTACGTGAGACCCGCCCCTGAGCCCTCGGTGAAGCTAGGGATTGTGCCGCTGAGGCGGTTGTTGTAGAGATTGAGCCTCTGCAGCTGCGCCGAGAGGCTGAGCCGAGGCGGTACCGTGCCGCTCATTCGGTTGTTGTTCAGATCGAGTCTCTGCAGCTGCGCTAACAGGTTGAGCCGAGGTGATATCGTGCCGCTCATTCGATTGTTTTTGAGATCGAGCCCCTGCAACTGTGCCGGCAGTCGAGGCACCGTGCCGCTGAGAAGGTTGGAGGTGAGGACGAGCTCCGTCAGCGAGAGGTCGGCGAGCGAGGCAGGGAGCGTGCCGGTGAGGAATCGGCCAGAGAGATCGAGCGTGGAACCCTCATAGGTGCCGTCGCAGACTGCCGGCCGGAGGCCGCAGATGGTCGATGGCGGGGGTGGCGAGGGAAGCGGCGAGGGTGGCGGCGGCGGCGACGGCGGCGGCGAGGGCGGCGGCGCGGGTGGAGGCGAGGGCGAGGGCGGCAGCGGTGACGCGGAGGGCGGCGGCGGCGATGACGGCGGCGGCGATGACGCAGTATCTGCCGGGTCTTCTTCGACCTCGACCACGACGGCATCGTTGACGAAGGCACCCACCGTAGCAAGGATAGGTCCAATCTGCGCTTCGAAGGAATCCTGGCCAGCGGCCACGGAGGACTGAGTGAGGCTGCTTTGCGCCGCGATGGCTTCCGACTGCGTGACCACCGGGAACTTGGCGACGATAATGACGCTTCCGGCGGTGACTTCGAGGGTCGAACCCAGAGGCGCGGATGCAAAGCCGGCCAGCTGGGCCAGCTTTGAGAGGATGCTCCTCTTGGTGGCCTCATCAAAGTCGCCCACCTCGCCACTTGCCGTGAAGGAGGCGACGACCCGGAACGAGCCTGGCTCTCCTGACTGTGGCGGCGACGGCGGCGACGGCGGCGAGGGCGGCGAGGGCGGCGGGTAGTTGCACTCCGGAGGGGAGCCCGAGCCCGAGGTGCAGACATTGGGAAGGGCGGGCAGGGGGCAGGCAAAGTGGTTGGTGCCGCCCAGCCAGCAGTTCGTCAGCGGCAGGTCGTTGAGCTGCGACGGCACGGTGCCGGAGATGTCATTGTTGTACAGGACAAGATCCACCAGCTGCGAGAGCTTGCTCGTCTCTGGAGGGATGGTGCCCGAGATGGGGTTGCTGTACAGGTAAAGATACTCCAGCTGCGAGAGCTTGCTCGTCTCTGGAGGGATGGTGCCCGAGACGGAGTTGTCGCGCAGACCAAGATACGTCAGCTGCGAGATGTCGCCCAGCTGCGAAGGGATCGTCCCCGACAGCCCATCATTCGACAGATCCACCTGGATGCCCGTGTAGGTGCCGTCGCACAGCGACGTGCCGTACACGCCGGTAGGGCAGCCGGAGGAGCATGGCACGCTGTTGTCGCAGATCGTGCCCGCGGCCTCGCAGCGAACCGCCAGCAGGAGGAGCGCGAGCGGGACGAGGCGCGGCGCCGAGGAAGAGCAAACCGCCGCCAACAGCGTAAGAATGAGCGAGTTTGCCAACGTCATGGCTGGCGATCGTGCAAGGCGAGCACGCGTCGTGGCGCAGCCGCCGGAGAGCGCGTGTTTTGCACCGACGCGGGAGGATGCAGGTGCGGTCGAGGCCGAGGACTCACCAGAGGACTGCATGTTGGTGCTCGGAGGGGGCTAGGGAGGGAGGCGCCGAGTCAGAGCGTCTCAAGATTGACCTTGCCACGCAGTTTTCTTTTCTGTGTGGGAGGAGGTTTTCGAAAATTCTTTTATGTCCCCCACTTCCAAAAAATTGTAGAGGAAAAGAAATCGCAGTGCCAAGCCCCGGTTCGCGGGAGGCCGCCATGTCCGACACAGAGGACGATCTCGCCGAAGAGGCCTTCGCGCACGAGCAGGAACTGCTGGCGCGGGAGGCCGCACTGGCGGCAGCGGAGGCTGCACAGGAGGCAGCGGAGGCCGAAGAGGCGGAGCGGCAGGCAAAGCGAGCGCGCCACGGCGACGCTGCGGGCTCGTCGCTGCCGAGAGGCGACGCTGCGAGCTCTTCGTCGCTGCCGAGAGGCGACGCTGCGGGCTCGTCGTCGCTGCCGAGAGGCGACGCTGCGGGCTCGTCGTCGCTGCCGAGAGGCGACGACGACGACGACGTGAGCCCCACGCAGGAGAGGGCCTTCGCGCCCGAGCAGCAGCGCGCCTTTGACGAGGCACTCGGTGGCAGCAACCTCTTCATCACGGGCGGCCCAGGCACGGGCAAATCCTTCACCGTGCGCCGCATCATCGCGGCGCTCGAGGAGAAGAATGGCAGCGGCTCAGTGCTGACGTGGGCACCCACCGGCGTGGCGGCGATCCTCGTGGGCGGCCAGACGATGCAGTCGACGCCGGGTCCGGGCGTGCCCGGCTCCTCCACGGGCTTCGAGAAGGTGTGGGGCAGCAAGAAGTACTGGCGCGAGGTGCGCACGCTCGTGCTCGACGAGGTGTCGATGGCGGACGCCGAGTTCATCGACTGGATAGAGGCGCATGTCCGCGAACTCGTCGCGAGGGAGGGCAAGCAGTACAGCCCGTGGGCCAAGGCGGACCAGCCCTTTGGCGGGCTGCAGCTCATCTTCGTGGGCGACTTCTGCCAGCTGCCGCCCGTGCCGGTGAGCGAGGTGTCGCTCACCAGCCCACAAGTGCTGCAGAGCTGGGAGCGGGCCAGCCGGACGCAGTGTGGCGGCTGGCTCGAGCGCGTCAAGGTGCCCGTCGGCTGCAAGGAGACCAAGGGCAAGTGGGCCTTCCAGACGTGCTGCTGGCGCGACGCGCGCTTCGAGTGCATCGAGCTCCAAAAGTGCTACCGCACCGGCGACCCGATCCTGCTGAACGCGCTGCACGAGCTCCGTCGAGGTCACGCCTCGCACCCCGCCGTCCAGCGGCTGGTGCAAGCCACGCAGCGCCCGCTGCCGCCGCGAGGCGACGGCATTAAGCCGACCGTGCTCTACGCGACCAAGAAGGCCGTCGAGGCCGAGAACCGCGATGAGCTGCGCAGGCTCGACCCCGTGACGGAGCACGTCTACAAGGCGCTCGACTGCGAGGAGCCCGACCTCGACTCGCACCCGCCGCCAGACCCCAACCCAAACATCTCGCCGAGCGAGCGCCGAAAGTTCGCCGAGAATTGCGCCGCCCCCGACGAGCTGCAGCTGCGGCTCGGCGCGCAGGTGATGCTCATCAAGAACGAGGTCGTCTCGCTCGCCGCCGACGTCGACCCCGCCTGCCGCCGAGCCGCCCACCGCAGCCGGCTGGTGAATGGCTCGCGAGGCGTCGTCGTCGGCTTCCGCCGCAAGACACCGAACGACGACCCCGCGTTCGCTCGCACGCCAGGCGGCGGCGAGGACAGCGGCGAGGACGGCGGTCGCGAGGACAGCGGCGGGGATTGCGGCGGCGGCGGCGGCGGCGGCGGCGGCGGCGGCGGCGGCGGCGGCGGCGGCAGCGGCGGCGGCGGGTCGGACGGCCTGCCAAAGGACTGGGCGGCGGCGACGGACGAGGAGACGAGCCGCACGTACTACTACCGCGTCTCCAATCCGAGCGAGGTGGTGTGGGAGAAGCCACATGGCGACGAGGACGATGCGACGCTCTATCCGG